TGTAGTATTGAAGAAAAGTATATTCTGCATCTGTAGGATGAAAGATTGTGAAGGTGTGAATTAGGTCCATTTGTTCTATTGTCTGGGTGGGTCCTGTTGTTTCTTGCTGAGTTTCTGTCTTGTATATCTGTAATTGAGGTTAGTGTGGTATTAAGGTCCCCCACTATTATTATAGTGGAGTCTATTTTTCCCTTTAAATGCATTAATATTTGTTTCATGTAGATAGGTGCATTGGAGTTTGGTGCATATATATTTATTATGATTATTTCTTCTTGCTGGATGGATCCCTGAAGTATTACATGTCCTTCTTTACCTTTTAAAAATACTTTTCATATCAAAGTCTATATTATGTGATATTAGAATGGTTATACCAGCTCATTTTTCTTTTTCATTTGCCTGGAATATCCTTTTTTTCCCTTTCCCTTTCAGTTTCTGCTTAACCTTGTTGGTGAGATGTGTTTATTATAGATGATAATTAGATGAGTTGTTTTTTGATTCAGTGTGCCAATCTATGATGTTTGATGAGTTTAATCATTTGCCTTCAGGGTTAATATGAATAGGTAGTGATTTGGTTTTGTTATTTTGGCACTAGGTTTTTATTGACTTAGTCTTCTTTTGTCATTTTTGGGACGTTCACCATGTTTGCCTTTGGTGTTGATAGGTGGCATGCCTTTTCTCTGTCAGTGGGACATCTTTTGGTGACATTTCTAGGCCAGGTCTGGTAGAGGTAAAATCTTTAATATTTTGTTTGTTGTGGAAGTCTTTTTTTCCATTGTCAAAGTCAAGGAAAGCTCTACTGGGTAAGTTGTTCTGGGCTGGCATTTTTTCCTCCTGGGGTATGGAATATGTCACTCCATTCTCTTGTGGCCTATAGAGTTTCCTCTGTCAGTTGTGAGTCTGATTGTGATTTCTCTATAAATTAATAGACTTTTATGTGCATTTAAAAAAAGATCTATTTTATTATTATTAAAAAGTCAGATTTACAGAGAGAATGAGAGGCAGTTAAAGATCTTCGATCGACTTGTTCGCTTCCCCAGTGGCTGCAGTGTTTGGAGTTGTGCTGATCTGAACCAAGGTTCTAGAACTTCTTCCAGGTGTGCCACTCAGGTTGCAGGGTCCCAAGGCATTGGCCTGTCCTCTATTACTTTTCCAGGCCACAAGCAAGGAGTTGGATGGGGTGTGGAGCAGACACACAAACTGAGTGGGATCTGTCTGCATGGGATTCCTGTGCGTGCAAGGGAGGAATTTAGCTACTGAGCCATCATGCCCTCAACTACATATTTAAATATGTTTTCCTTAAGTTCAATAAAAGAGAGATTATGTTTTCCTTAAGTTTAACAAAAGAGAGATTGTGATGTGGTGATGTTTACTTTCAGTTATCTCTATTTGGAGTCCTATGCCCCTCCTGTGGTCTTTTTCTTTATTCTTTCTCAATATTAGTGAAATTCTCAATTATTTTTTAATTGAATATGTTTTGAATCCAGCTTCTCTTTCTCTTCTGAAACTCCTATAGCTCATTTGTTTAACCTTTTGTGTCCCTAAATTTCTGGAATATTTTTCTTAGCTTGACTCAGCTTATCGTCCAGTTTTATAGCATTTTATCATAATAACAGGCATCCTATAATTTTGGCATTCTTTCTTTTTCCTCACTCACTGGATTATTAAGGCTTTTTACTAAATTGTTATTTGCTATATTCTTCATTCCTAAAAATTCTGCTTGATTTTGTTTTAATGTTGCTATTACTTATGTAATGTATTCTTTAGATTCTTTATTCTTGTTTGTGTATTGTGTCTGTTTTTAATGAAGTGTAGAATAATTTTTTAAAATTGTGTATCTCCCAGTTCCTCAATGCCACCTTTGTTACATCTGAGGTTGACATTGATTTTTTGCTTTTTCTTGTGGAGTTGGAACCAAAATTCTTATTCTTTGTGCCTCTATCTGTTTTTTTTTTTTGCTCTTGGTCGTTATTATCGGATACCAGATTCTTCCCTTTGGGGCTTTTAAAAAATTCCTTTTTATTTATTTCAAATTGATTAATTTTATGACACAGTTCCATTGACTTCAGAATTTCCCCTCTTGTAGCTCACATTAAAAAAAAAAAGATTTATTTAATTTTATTGCAAAGTCAAATATACAGAGAGGAAGACAAACAGACAGGAAGATCTTCTGTCTGCTGATTCACTCCCGTAATGACCGCAATGACTGAAACTTCGCTGACCCAAAGCCAGGAGCCAGGAACCTCCTCCAGGTCTCACATGCAGGTACAGGGTCCTAGGGTTTGGGCAGTCCTTGACTGCCTTCCCAGGCCACAAGCAGGGATTTAGATGGGAAGCAGGGCAGCTGTGAGTAGAACCAGTGCCCATATGGGATCCTGATTCGTTCAAGGCAAGAACTTAAGCTGCTAGGCCATGGCATGGGCCATGAGCTCACTTTTAAGCTGTGTTGTTCACAGGTGTATAGTCAACTTTATTGGTCATGCTCAGTTTGCCATCACTCATACCACTCCTTCCAGAGACTTTCAGTCCCAGGCTCTCATGATGTGCTTCCACCATTGTCTCTCTAGCCCTGGCTCCTGGCTCATCACTCTCCACCCATTGTGATCCCATGCTGTGGCTGCACCATTGCTTGCTCAGCCTGTTTTCTGCTCTTGGTTTCAGCAGTGCCTGTGATTACGGAGACATCCCCTGTCCTGAATCACAGGGTTGTCAGTGTCAACATTGCACAGATTTTTCTTTCTTCTTTTTGTTAGAACATGCAGGTGATTAGGTCTATGGGGCAACATGGACCTATTTTTGATGGAACCCATGGCATGCTGAGTCAGTATTGTTTCCCCAGTGGGACCAGTGGGATGCATTGAGGCAAAAGTGAGTTCTCTTCTGGCTTAGCACATGTACATTTCATTGTTGCCACAAACTTTGCCTCAGAACACAAAATGGCACCTGATGTGTGGAGGTCAGAGCCATGAAGTCCACCCTGTTCCTGCACCTGATTTCCTGGGTTCTGCCACTCTGCTTCTGCTCACAGTCGGATGAAACATATCAGCAGAACAGGGAGTTCTATGGCTGTTTCCATCTCTTGAGTTTCTGGCAAAAATTTGCTATGAAAATTAAATGAAATGTGTTATGATGTTTATGAAACACTACTTCACATTTTGTGGTTTTAAAAGGTAAGTGCTGATCCTATTTCAAGCTCCTTTTCTTTCTTCTCTTTCTCTTATTTTGGTCAGGTGTGACAGTCATGGCACAGAACTTCCCAGTTAGTTGATAACGAATGCAAGTGAAACATTTATTTTTCTTCCGGAGATCACATGACCCAGGCCCACATTACATGTGATTTTGTTCCCATCAAGCAAATTAACACACATGGAAATCTTAATTTGTCTGAAAAAATGTATATGAGTGTTTGTACTATTTATAATCTTACCCATGGCCTGTCCATCAGAAAGACAAGTTTACTTTTTACTCCAAAGTTCTAATCTTGTTGCTGTGCTTACGTCGCAGCCTGCCTTCCCCTGGGCTGGGCAGATAATGCTCTCTCACTGTAGAGTCCTTAGTGTCTGAGCATGAGTAGAGTCTTTGCTTTGGTCAGTAGCTGCGCTTCTCCTCCCCAAGGAGGAGCATGGAGAGGGAAGAGATGCAGTGTCCTTGGGAGGTGTGGGAGAGTCTTCCTGTGCTCTCCTTTCATCCTTCAGGTGCTCATGCTGGAGATGTGGGGCTTAGCTGGTCCTTAAGCAGCTATCCTGTTGTCAGCTGGATAAGGGGAAGGACAGGTCTGGTCATTTAGGGTCACTGTTGTTGACTATACTGCATGACTTTGGAGTTCATGTTCTGGGTGACTTGGCTTTGAATGGGAAATTGATGTTCTATGTTGAGTTTTTCTTCCTCTTTCTCAGACCTTCCCTTGCCCACTGGTTTTCTGGACAGCTCTGACCCTTCCATCTCTCTCCACAGTGTGTGGGAACTTTTGGCTGTCCAGTTTTCCATATGCAGGTTGCAAGTGTCCTTGTGTTCTCTCCAGACACCTTCTCCTGGTAGTTCTACTGCACGTTGTGTATAGCATCCAACTGCATGTGATTGTGGGAGGTTTCTGTTTGCTGCGTAACAATGAGCTTGTTCTTGGTCACTTTTAAACTAACACAAATCTGTTGACTGAAGCTCTTTAGGCTAGAAATCTGAACAAATCTCAGTGGGATAATGGCTTGCAGGTCTCCATTCTTTCGGTGACTCCTGCCTCTTCCAGCCTCTGAGGTGACTTGCTTGGCTTGACTCAAGGCCCCAGTATTATGTGTGCAAATCTAGCATTGCTTACATCTTCCTGACCCCGTTTGTATCACAGTTTAACTTTCTCAGCAACACAGACTGGTAATGATTTCAGGGTTCATTTGATTAGGTTTAGCATATTGGATAATGCATGAGCTCTCAAAACATCAAATTCTTGAACTTTATGTCACCTGCAAAGCTTCCTCTTCCTGTCATATGATGTGTTTTAGGAGTTGTAGGTACACAGCATTGGGAATCAGCCTCTCTGTTCTACTTAGTTTGTGGTACCCTCACCACAATGTGTTAGAAGCAACCTAGAAGTTTAACTTAAACAGTGCTCTGCAAATGAATGTAGGGCTTGGAATTTTGCATGCCCTACATATTCCAGGGATATCTAGCTTTCAGTATGTTTTTGTGGCTAGGAGATTGAGTAGCACCTGTTGTTAATGAAATTTCTGTAAAGGCGTATCTGTTGAGGGCAGAGTCCAGTGTGTCAATCCTGGATGTTAGATTTATATTATATTTGGCCTTCACCGGAGGCTGCTGCATGCCGTGCATCTCTCTCTCTCTCTCTCTCTCTGTGTGTGCGTGCGTGTGTGTGTGTAGGAAGCTGTGTATCAGCTGAATGTATCCCAGCACATTTCTCCTTCACTCCCCACATCACTGTTTGAGAGGAGCAGGTGCTGAACTGACATGTACAATTTGTGCAGACGGTGATATAAATGTGTATTCTCTTACAGATTGGCGGAAAGAAGAGTTCCAGGCCTGTGAGTTCCTTCATGTTTTTTCTGGGTGCTCCTCCTGTGGTGCCCATGGCCCTAGCTTCTCCTTCACTTGTTGTGGTGATGTAGATGCTGGCAGCATCAGCAGTGGGGGGATGGAGAGTATGTGGAAGAACGCTTGGTCTGCTTCTTAGATTCTGGGACACATCTGACTCTCAGAGCATTGTGGTTCTTCCTCCTGGTTATAGGGCTGGGATGGCTTGGCTGATTGAGAATTCTCTCTGCAGGGTCTGCAATTCTGAATCCAGGCTCTGCCAAGGACAATGTTACTGTTTCTCCAGGAAGGACCTCTGTGACCTGGAGGAACAAAAAATTTGCTGATATGACGAACTCAAAGAAATCGGGCTCTGTGTTTGGCCTTGAGGGCATCACTTCAGGAAGATGTTACTGGGAGGTGGAGATCAAGGATGACATGAGAAGCTGGTGGTTGGTGGGGGTTACTGGGTCATATGTGGAAAGGTCAGTTGATATTAGCGCACCACCAGGTAGGACATCATGGATTGTAGGTCGTAGGAAATCTCGATATTTTGCCTTTTCTATGAATGAAGCAAGGTTTATATCAGTCAGGCAGGAGCCCCGCAAGGTTGGGATCTTCCTGGACTACAGTGAGGGTGATATCTCCTTCTATAACATGACTGATGGGTCCCACATAGTCTCCTTCCCCCCAGCTGTGTTCTCTGGACCCTTGTACCCATCCTTCAAGCTTCTTTCAGGAGATGTGACCCTGAGCATCTGCTCCCCATTGGGTGGGTCTGAGGGGCTCCCTGGGACCGTGAGTGATTCTCCTTCTTTGGAGGAGACTGTGAGGCCCCAAGGGGTGGGGATGAGTTCAGGCTCTGATGCTAAGGGTGCTCCCCCAGGGGCTGAGTCTCCATTACTTCCATGCTCCCCATAGGGTCCTTCCTGTTCTGACTCCTCAGTATGACACTCCTGTTGCTTCAGGCTCCCTGTGACTAATGGCCCTCAGATGAATCCCTGATGGTCACTGGTCTTTCTGCTCCTGTAGCTGTGAGGGTTGGTGTGTCAGACAGAGGAAGATGAATGTTGACTCTTGTTTGAAGTAGTTTAGGATAGGCCATATTATAATATGAAATTGTCATTTTTGGTATGAAAATTATTTCACAGGTCTAATAGGTTTAAAATTCACTTTTGACATGAAGGGAGCTGAGATATAAGATTTTTCTTTAAGATTTATTTTTATTGCAAAGTCAGATATACAGAGGAAGAGAAACAGAGAGGAAGATCTTCCACCTGCTGAGCCACTCCCCAACTGACCACAATGGTTTGAGCTGAGCCAATCTGAAGCCAGGAACCTGGAGCCTCTTCCTGGTCTCCGACACGATACAGGGTCCTAAGACTTTGGGCAATGCTTTCCCAGACCACAATCAGGGCACTGGATGGGAAGCTGGATGGGAAGCAGGGCTGCCTGGATTAGAACCAGCACCCATATGGGATCCCTGTGTGTGCGATATAAGGACATTAATGGCTAGGCTATTGCACTGGGCATGAAATCTGTGTTTTTTTGCAGAAGAAAAGAATTTTAAATATTCAGGTTGCGTCTGAGCAGAGGGACTAAGAGAATGACAGTGTTCCCACATCTATTCTGGGAGCATTTGCCTCACTGGTTGACAAAAGTTTGCCATACAAATATTGCATTGGAAATGAATGACGATGGATTGTAATATGAAGGAATCTAGGGTTTACATTGTGTACCTCCCTTTCTGGAATGGAAGAAACATGGCTGCTTTTCCACTCCTCAGTATATTCCTATGACCCATGAACACACTGTGGTATGTTAATACAGGGAATCTGAGGATGAGGGTTTGGATTCTCCCTTTGTGTCAACACGGTAACCGAGGGAAGAAGAGAACTGTTATCAGAATAGGCAGTGAGTAGTGCTCAGATGAAAAGGAAGAGAGAATATTCAATTACAAGCTCAAGTGCTGAAAGTTTGATCATGATGATGGTCAAACGCATCAGCTCCTAGTACTTCCAGATCCATTTGTCTCAATGACAGGAACACCATAGCCAAGCCAAAGCAGCAGGAGTGTGAAGGACTCTGATTTTTAAGCATGGAGATGTGATTGCTTCGTGACATGAAGAGCTCTGATCAGGAGAGGACACGTGGTTCAGGGTTTGGGTCCTGCCTCCACTTGTGATTCTAGCTTCCTGCTAATCCACACTGTGGAAGTGATTCAGCTGAGATGGGAATCCATGGAATTTGTTCTATTGATGATGAAGCATGAAGCTGATGGACAACAAGAGGGCAATTTTATCATAGTGTTACTGGAAGAGTAAATGTTAGACACTCCAGCTACTCAGGAGGGGAACATTTTCTTGGGGTTTATATATACATAAAACATCATATAAAATTTCTGTAGAATTAAAAAGTACTTTACCTTAGGTCTTTTCAGGAGGTGTGTTTGTCTCTATCACATTGTCAGATCTGGGTTTGATATACGGTCATCATTACTGACAGGGGGCCACTTATATCAAGCTTAGCATGAGACCTTGTTTTCCTTATTGATGAAGTTCCACACATCATATCATGGTATCAGGTTCATTTGCTCCAGCCGTATTTCCTTGCTCAGGCTGGTATCCCAGTGAGGTTGAGAACATTTTTCACATCCCTGGAGGAACTTTTATTCCTCTCTCTCACTTCTTAGCAGTTCCCACTCAGACTGATGCCTGTTAACGTGTGGAATCCAGTCACACAATGGAGTTACTTTGGCTCATGCCTGCACACGTTTGCTAACCTGCTGTTTATGCTTCTGTATAAAATGTTTTGCTTGCGTCCTGGTTTTTGGGCCAAAGTCCAAGTTGCAACACACCCTGCCAGTGCCCTTGGCTCTAGGTACTGGTATTGTATGCTTTTCCACATCCTGGTTCCCTTGGCTGCCTAACTACCCTGATTCCCATGCCTCCTAACTCATCCATTCTACAAAGACCCTTGTAACTTGCTTCCTGGATCACTTTCTGAAGGAGAGCACGGCTGACCCTTGCCAGTTTGTGTGTTTACCTGCCTGCTCAATAAACTTTGCTGCACTGAGGAGTTGTCTTGGATGTACGTTTTTGGGAGAGACTCAGGCTGGATGCAACTAAAGCACATGGCTTAATTGTTGGGCTCCTGTCTCCCATGTGTGAGACCTGGACTGAGTTCCAACTCCCAGGCTTCAGCCTTGTCCAGCTGCTGTTGCATCATGCATGTAGAGAGTGAACCAGTGTATGAATGAGAGCTTTGTCTTAATACCAAATAAAAAGTGAAAAATGATCTCTGGAGTATTATCATTCTGGGTGAAGGTAAGAAGGTATGATTGGGAGTGGGAGAACAAATCATAGTATTGATTCTGGCCTTGTGAGCAGTTAGAGTGGCTGCCATAGTTTCAAAATTTGTGCTTCCGGAGGCAGACATTCAGTCCCCCAAATGTTCACATTAAGGCACAATGGTGGTTGAAAGTTAACCAAAGCATTGTGTTATAAGTGAGGCCTTTGTGAAGTGTCTTCATACAGGCAGACTGTGAGGGTGTAGCCCCATGGCTGAATCTCGGCAGATTTACGAGTAGAGTGGGACATGGGAGCTGCTCCTGTGGAACAGAGTGGGCCCTTGTGAACGTGCTGTTTGAATCTCCATAACCATGAGCCAGAATTGGCCTCTTGTCCCTTGAAGTCACTCTGCCTCATGCATTTCATTCTTTTTTTTTAAATTTATTTTAATGTTTTACATAGTTGATTAGGGCCAAGGGCTAGAAAGTGGATAAGATCAGTTCTTTTCAGATTCTTGTTTTTCCTTTCTGTTTCTTGAGGAAGGGTAGAGATAAGAGGAAAAGCCACACCCAGCCTCCCAATTATCATAACCTCCCCAGTTTGGAGCCTTCTCTGAGGGCACTGCTCAAGTTCTTTTGAGAGTTTAGCAGTTCTGTATTGCTGCTGGATTGCTACTCCAAGTTGGATGAAATCTCTCCAGAATCCACTGGCTGACATAGTCTACCTTGGAGTCTCGTTTGCCTAGATTTTCACTGCCAACACTTGGATGGGGTAGATGATCAATTTGTTCTTACCTCTGCTCTGTTACCAGGTGTCCTCTGTGGGTTCTAATGTACTGCTCTATCCTCCATATGCAACAGACCATGTTTCCCCTTGTTTCATCTAAGCTGCTGAGGAGATCCAGCTCAGAACATAAACACTCCATGGTTAGACCATGAACTCTACAGTTTTCCTCATGATTGAAGTTCTGAGTCCAGAGGTTCAGTTGGGGGATCCCCAAAGAAACCTCTTCTGAGGTGATCCCAGACCTGATTCTTGTGTGTGCTTGCCATTATTGGGCCCTGCACTGTCTGTTGCCCAAATCAGCTTACATGCAGAGTGAGGATTGCAATTGTTTGGTCAGTTCTCTCTCCTGCTTTGCCCTCTCTGTAAACCCAATGGGTGTTCCTGCCCAGCACGGTCATACGCACCACACATTTGCCCATGTAAGGTAGTGGAACTGAAGGCTAGTTGGGGTGACAGTTAATAACAACACCCCCAGGCCAGCCACTGCCCTGATTTCTGTGCTTGCCAATATGTATAGCAGATCGGTCCTTCTGTCACACATCCTATCAGCACTCATGTATGTCAATGGGCATTGAAGCCTAGTTCCACCAACCAGCTTCACCATCCAGCATACCTGCCAGAAGTTGCTGTTTTGTCTAGCCATACCTGCCCCAGTCCTGGGTTCTCATGCTTTCCAGTTGGAGTGGCAACCCAAAAGGGACATGCCCACTGTTTTCCTACTGGGCCCCTTTCGCTCTTGGTTCTTGCACACTCCAGGTGGTTCTGCAGTTTAACTTGACAGCATCAGCATCTGCCAGCTAACACTTTGGCAAAACCCAGCCAATCTACATCAGTTTTGCTAGTGCATGCACCATTAGGAACAGTCAGCCTAGCCTGACTTTTCCCCTATTCAGCTCACATGAGACCAACAGGTGTTGTAGTCCTGCCCAGCCTGGTCTGCCCCCAATTCCAGCTCTCATGCTTACTAGTTGAAGTAGTGGTGCAACAGGGGAGCCCCACACAGTGCCCCTTCTGTGTTCGTTTCCTACCCCCCGGTTCTCACGTGTGCTGGTTGAGTGCTGGTTGAGGCCATTCTGGCATGGCCTGCCTCACCTCAGCATTTGCCAGTGGGTGCTGTATTCTGACCGAGCCTGATGCCTCCCCAATTTCCAGCTCACACTGGGTGAACTATAACCTAGTGCAGCCCACGCCAGGCAGCCCTGGCCCTGGCCCTAATGTAAAGCTGGCTGGTATTGTGGCCCAACATGCCTGACAAATATGTCATTCAGGTTTTTGGATTTGCCAGTGGGTGATTTGAATTGCCTTAGCCTGGCTCGCTCCAGATCTAATCCAAATGTATGCTGCTAGGTACCATTCCCAGGTCTGGTCTGGGCAGCTCCCTTTGTTGGTTCTTGTACCTACCCGCATGTACTGTGTTAGATAGAGGAGTTGCCAAGTTCTTCCATCGAAACCTCTACTAATGACAAATCTCATTCACAATGTTGGTTCCTTGGCCAGCCCTACTTAGTCCACCTTCCATTTGAGCAGGAATAGTGGCCTGATTTGATCGGCCCTTATGCTTTCCTGGTTTTTTTTTTTAATATTTTTTTTAGTATATTTTGACAATCTTTAGAAAGTTAATTAGGGTAAAAAGTATCAAGGGCAAAGGAAAGTGGGTAAGACTATTATTTTTTCCATTTTGTTTCCTTCATGTTTA